GCTACAGTCCATGGGGTTGCAAAGAGTCGGACACGACTGAGCGACTTCACTTTCTTTCTACTTTATATATTTCTGTATTTTAAAAATTAACTTTGGTGCCTTGTTTTTATGATCTGTATTCGGCTACTGGTGGCATTTTTGTTCCTATCATTGTTCTCAGCCGTGTTCCTACATAGGTTAGCTGTCCGTCAAGAACAGTGCTGGGGACACAGAAACAGCTGTTCAGTTGCTTCTGGACATTTCCACCTGGATGCCCCCAAAGCAAATTTTGATTACTTGTTCCAGGGGATTAATTACCTTCTCTAATAAATCTCTTCTTTCTCTGTTCCCTAGTCTCTCCAAATGAGAAATCCAAGCCAGACTCAGACCCTCTCTCTTCTCCACAAGCAAGCACTCTCTAATTCATAATGATTCTACCCCCTGAAATCACCCCTGAATCCACATCCTCTTTCCCATCTCAGAATCTCTCACCTGGACTCCTTCCAAAGCCTCCAGATAAAGTCTCATCCATTGCTCATTCATCTATAGTACTGGTTCCAAGAGTGATCTTTCTAAAATAAAAATCTAAATCGTACATCCCTTACTTAAAATCTTCACCAATGAGAAATAGTCTGGAGTCCAAAGTATGATATTTGAGTCTTCCTCATCCAGTGCCTGTAACCTTCTTACTAGCTCACTTCTTATCAGTGCCCAGTATACACTTTATGTCCTAATGAGGAATGACTATGGGACTAACAACTAAACCCATCTTAACTCCCCAAGCATATCATGCAGCTGTGCAATGCCTGGAATGACCTCCCACCCAACACTGTAGTCCACCAGACAAACAAACTTATCCTTTAATAGCCTCAAACACTGCATCCTCTAGGAGGGCTTCCCTCAACCCAAACTCCTCCCCAAGAGCCATCCGTACACATAAACACACACCCACCCACTTTATGAACTTTATGAAGTCTTTCCTCCTACAAGTCTCTTGGTTCCTCAAGGGCAGAGCCTTATACCCATCTCGACATCCTCTGAGACCACCCTGGTACCATGTACCTGGCTTAGAGTGCCTGTTCAACAGTATTTATTAAACTGAGTTGAAACATACTTTGGTAAAATGTGAAATCCTAAACAAAATTGGGTTTTCTAAAATCTGTGTTTTAATTAGGCTCATTTGAACCATGAAAGAAACAAACACTCGAGTAACCTTAGAAAGAGGTCGAGGAGCTATATTAGAAAGCTATCAAGAAACACTGCTTTTTCCTCAGCCCTTCAGCTTGCACATGGCGATCCTGGCCTCACCAGCCTCCCTGGTAACTTTTCCACTTCAGTCCTCGCTGCTGACAAGCACTTTATCTCCACATTATCCAATCCAAATTTCTGAGAGGGTTGTTTTGGGTTTGGCAACAGGCCACCATGTCCTTTCTCTCTCTCTGCTGAAGCTATGGATCTGCTGCCTCTGCTTAGGTGCTGGGCTAGACAGTCTAGGACCAATAACTGACCTTCCCCTAACTTTCAACTCAAGATGTCATTCTTATTTCCTTAGAACCCATACTGGAAGTATATCTCTAAAATTGTTTTGTAATACTTTTAAAAACATGTCTTGCCAAGACTTGTCCACAGTGAGAAAATCCTGCATACTTCGTCACTGAACCAGCTATACTTTCCAAATATGTAAGGAGCTCATCCCATTTTGTTTGTAGCTGTGTACTGAAAGGATCCTCTGGATTCATAACTGCTCAACAGCGGTGGTTTACAAAGCTTTTTGCAAAATTTCTCTTATGTTTATTATGGAAGGAAATGAGTAGTCCAGATATTTCCTTGTTAAATTCTACCCCGTAATATCCAGTAACTTTATATAAGGATAGCACACACAATGGCACTAAACCACTAACCCACAAAACCTGTTTCTCCTCCTCCAAACTAACACGAGTAGGTAATGATTGAAGAAAGGCAGGCTACTCAGTGACAAGCTCATGTCGTAAGTAAAGAGGAGTACAGGCCAGGAGACAGGCACTCTTAGGTGGTATCCAGTAAACTCATATTCTCAGGGCTATTAATCTTCTGCTTAAAACTAGAAAAGGGCTAATTAAATATCTTTTATATCTAGGGAGACAGCACAGTTGCACAAAGAACAAATTTAACAACATTAGAACAATCAACATCGTTGAAAGGGGCAGCAATTCATTCACTAAAAAATCCTGGCTATTCCAAGATTTCAACGTTCACTGGAAAGAAATATTGTTAGAAGGGGATAAGGGAAAAACTCTCCCATAACAGCCGTTCTGATGATGTGAAAGAAAAGAAACTTTTTCAAATGCAGATTGTCCTCACATTTCTTGATAGTAAGGGAAGAATTTTCTATTTAAAAATCAGGCAGGTGTTCTAGACAGCCAACCTGTTTATTAACTATCCTCATTGGTGACTCATTTTAGTTTCATCTGTAGTAATGAGCAGCTGACTACACAATATCATAACCATCATTTTGGGCTATTGTTAATAAACATATAATCTTAACAGATCTAATTTCAGAGGTCAGAAATTGGAACAATTTGGAACACTGATGTTGTCTTCAAATGAGGCTTGAAATGAAGGAACTATTAGAAAGCTTTCATTGAATAAAGGTACTAAATGGCAAGAGGTTGATTCACTACTAATCAAAACTCATAGGTTTTTAAAAATAAGCAAAAAAAAAAAAAAGTTAAACTGAATGTCTTGGAGACATTTTAGTCAAGCATTAACAGTGTTATAAGTCCTTATCCTCCTTTTTAAAAAAATAATTGGAGCAGTACCTACATTCTAAAGTATAGCAGACTTAGATTTCTTTGCAAAGGAGAAGCTTACAACATTTTTAATTTATATACTTGTGAGGCCTATTTGGGTCTGTATGGTATCACTGGTAAAACATCAGCCTGTCAAGGCAGGAGTCATTGGTTCGATCCCTGGGTAGGAAAGATCCCCTGGAGAGGGAAATGGCAACCAGTATTCTTGCCTGGAAAATTCCATGGACAGAAGAGTCTGGTGCGCTACTTACTATCCACGAGGTCAAAGAGAGTCCAACACAACTGAGCAATTAAGCATGAGGGCTATTTGCAATTGTCAAACTAATAAAAACAGGAGAAAAAAGGAAGAAGCACTATTTTCATGTTTCATAGTTGGAATCATTGAAAACTACCTAAATTTGGTAAGTCAAGAGTCAGAAAAGTAAACTGGTGAACTAAAAATAACAGTTTAACAATAAAAATTGAGAGGCATAGGGGAGCAAGGAAGCAAAGTATAGGGTGCACCCACTTTCTCATCTTTCAGAGGAAGGAATCACAAGTTGATAAATCACAAAACAGAAGTATGGAATTTTAAAGTTAGAAATAAAGACAATCTCCAGAAGAACAAGAAATGAACTATCAATAGTAGTTAACTCTTGAGGTTGGGAGGACTGGATGGGGAACACTTTTCATTTTATAGTTTTGAACAATTTGCCCGTACCTACTCTGTGTGTAAATCCAACTTTTTAAAACGGTCAATAATCAGACACTATAAAAAAAGAAAATGTGCTGTATTTTATTCTCTGCACCTAACAACTCACAGGCTGTCAACTTTATAAAAGAGAGCAGATTCTAAAGTGAAATATCTCATCTGTCAAATTAAAGATAAGGTAAAGGAAACAAAGCATTTTTTTCCCCAGTGCAAAGTACAGAGCTATTGTTTTCAAATAAAGACTTCCTTGATCAATTTAAGCAAAACCACTGTTACTGTCCAAAATAACTCCTTTTAACTACTCCTGAATACAGTCAAGCTAATAAACAGAGAGTCCGAGGCTTCACTGCAGCAAATAAAATAATAAATCCTTTTATTAAATCAATAAGACACATAGGAGCTTATATTTGCTTTGAAATAAAAACAAGGGAGGCATTTTGAAAGTTTGCTATCTTCACTGATCCTCTCAGGAATGTAAAAGTATGCACTGCAGTTTCAAACCTCCTAGTGCTTGAGTTTTTTTTTTAAAGCAATTTACTTCTGCTTGAACAAGCAGTAAGACAGGCCACAGAGGTTGGGTTTTCTGTTAGCCCTCAGTTTCAAACCTTTATGCTCACACTAACAGTTCACCTTTCTAATGTTCCCAAATGTAATTATCTCAAAAAAATTCACACCTCAACTGAATTCAAGGGAAGGGGGACACTTCAGATTACTGATTACGGAATATGATTTAATACTGTGATTTTAGGACTGGGTTATTTTTGATAACCACAGTAGTTGTAACTTAGGTGATAATACGAGTAAAGATCACAGATTTTAAAACTGCCTACGCGCACCCTCTTCTCTTCTTGCAGTATCTCACCCTATCGGACAAGACTTAAAGCAACCCTGACAAAGAAGAGTTCACGAATTTTAATTTACACATATACAACCTAACGCAGGCGAGACCTAAGTACCTAACGCATATCCCTGAAGACACATCAACTTTACTCAAATATAACCTCTACCTCTAACATACTGGCAGCCTGATCATATTCCTGATACATGTTGGGAACTCTTCTATACCATCAAGACAAATCTGACTTAGAAAACCACAGGCTATAGGCCTGCTGGTAATCAAAAGGGTCAGTAAACGGAAGCAATTCTCTTTTAAACCTAATAGTAAACTTAGTTAACTAAGGCATCGCTCAGAATCAACTCTCAACCCCCAATACTATCGAGACTTAAAAAGACGCAAAGCTCTTTGTAAATCTTAGTAGGTAAGTCTCTCAAACCCACCAGGGGGACCTACTTACTCCAAGGCTCCTCCCCTGGACCCTACTCAGGATTCTCAGCCGTGCGGTTCCAGGGCGCCCTGCACCACCCCTGGATGGGGGTGCTCGATGTTCCTCCCCCGACCACTCGGTCATTCATCCCGAGTCCCCCCGACTAGCCCGCCCAAACCATTTCTCCCACATCTCCAGCCCCACATTCGCCCCTCCTCCAGGCCAAGCCGAGCTGGTCTTTCCCCACCCCTGCCACCCCCACCGCAGGACACTCACCCGCGGTAGTAGGCTTTCACCCGGACCTGGTGAGAATGGTCCCCAATGCCGCCGCCTGCGGTCGGGTGAGACATGGTACTGCTGTCTCTCTGGGTCGGCATCTCCTTACTCCCCCGCCTCGCCGGAGGCCGAGGGTGCGGGGGGCGCGCCGGGCGCCGCAGGGGACTCCGCAGCTAGAGCCTCTCGCGGAGCCGTGGCAGCCCTTTCGCCTACCTGTCGTCCCCGCCCGCGGCGCGGACCCAAGGGTCGCCTCGCCTGGGCAGCCGGAACCGCACGGCTCCTCCCACCGCCGGCGGCCGACTCTGCCTCCACAGCCGCCCGGGCCCTGCACGCCTCCCGCCTCCGCCCCTCCCACCTCGCTCGCTCTAAAGGCCCACATTCCGGGGGAGGGCGGGTGCAACCATCGAGCCAAATCAAGGAGCCTCAAAGTCTGGCTGAACCATTCTTACGGGAGCAAGGCAAAGGGGAGGGAGGATGGGGGGTGGTGGTGCTGAACATCATATCGGATTCCCCGGCAGGGGGGCCTTTTGTGGGAGCTGTAACTGAGAGAACGTGAAGGTTCAAATTACTATACTTCTGTAAAAAGCCCTCCCTACGAACATGGTTGGAGACAAGTGCTGCGCCGTCTCACCCCAGTTTCCTAACTTGGTCGCGTCCGCGGTCAGCCGACTGGGGACTCGAAGAAGATTTGGAGTGCGGGTTTCTGGGATTTGGAGTCCCCGTGGAATTCTGGGACTTGAGGTTCCTTACAAGTAGAGAGCCCCGCCTTCTCGCTGTCTGTCTCCCGCTCGTGCCCCAGGAGACTTTGGCGTGCAAATCCTGAATCCACCTTGGGCATCCGAGGACATTGGAAATGACTGGGATTCGTCACAGTCTAGACTTTCCTCTCTGCTGAATTCTCCTTCCAATTTCATAAATCATCTCAATTATACAGTACTTTTGGGGGAAAGAATTTGATTAAGGGCTCAGTATAGCGTCTTTTATGCAAAGAATGTAGTATAATATATGTAACAAATGTAACAAATAAATGTAATGAAGAAACTCAGTAAGAAGGTATGATGGAAGACTTGATTTTTCTTCCTTCTGCTGCCCCCATATCTTGGCCCTTGTATATTGCCCTTGCATGGAACAGGTGCACAATGAATATTTAGCCAATCAGTCAAGCCATCCAACTAGCCATGCATCATCATTTATTTATTTATGGCTGCACTGGGTCTTTGTTTCTGCATGGGGGCTTTCTCTACTTGCAGCAAGCAGGGGCTACTCCTCGCTGAGGTGTGACGGCTTTTCAGTGCTGTGGCTTCTCTTAGTTGCTCCCTCTGTATGTGGGATCTTCCTGGACCAGGGATTAAACGGTGTGCTCTGCATTGGTAGGCAGATTCTTAACCACTAGACCAACCACCAGGGAAGCCTACATCAGCATTTTTTTTTAACATCATTAAAACATTGTTAACATCGACTGTTGTTCATAGTAGCTTTGGCAGCTTACATTCCCATCAAAATACTATTTTTATTATTCATTGCTAGTGTATAGAAATACAATCGATTTGGTATATATCTGAATCCTGGGTTGGATTGCTGCATTCATTCATTAGTTCTAATAGTATTTTGATGACTTCCTTAGAATTTCCTTTGTACAAGATTATGCCATTTTAGAATACAAATAGACTTATGTCTTCCTTTCCAATCTGTATATCTTTTATTTTTCATGTCTGATTGCATTAGCTAGAAGCTATTGTATTATGTTGAACAAAGAGAAGTATGTGAACATCCTTGCCTTATTCTCAGTCTTCTGTGGATAGTTTTCAGTCTTTCACCATTAGATGTGATTATTGCTCTGGATTTTTTTGTAGATGCCCTGTATCAGGTTAAGGAAGTTCCACTCTATTCTTAGTTTTTTGCCTATTTTTATTATGAAGGGTGTTGGGTTTTGTTTAGTGCTTATTCTGTGTCTATTGAGATTATCATGTAGTTTTGTGCTTTATTCTATTGATGTGATATGTTACACTAATTTTTGGATGTAAGTCAATCTTGCATTCCTGGGAAAAATCCCTCTTGGTTATGACATATCCTTTTTATATTGTATGTTGCTAGATTCAGTTTGCTAATATTTTGTTGAAGAATTTTGAATCTACTCGTAAGCATGGTTTCCTTCAGTTTTTTTAAAATTTTTTTCTGGCTGTGTTGGGTGTTTATTAATGTATGCAGGCTTTCTCTAGTTGCAGCGTACGGGCTTCACATTGCAGTGGCTTCTCTTGTTGCGAAGCACAGGCTCTAAGTGCATGGTCTTCAGTAGCTGTGGTGCCTGAGCTCAATAGTCAAGTAGGCTCGTGGGCTCTAGAGCGCAGGCTCACTAGTTGTGGTGCATGGGCTTAGTTGTCCTGAGACATGTGGCATCTTCCCAGACCAGGGATCAAACCTGTGTCCCCTGCCTTGGCAGGTGGATTCTTTACGACTGAGCCACCAGGGAAGACCCCTTTTAGTTTTTAAAATGTATTTATAACTGCTGCTTTGAAGTCCTTGTCTGCTATGTCTTATATATATGTCCCTTCAAAGACAGTTTCGGTGTGTATGGGTCCCATTGCCTGTTTCTTGTATGTCTCATGTTCTTTTTGTTGCTGTTGCAAACCATACCTTTCCACTATGGCAGCTCTGAAGACTGATCCAAACTGGCTCCTTGGCTGGCTGTGATGGTTTGCTTGTTTATTTTTGAGTTGACCAGACTAGGTCACTAGAGTATGTTTCCTCCACAGTGGGCAGCCTCTAGTGTCTCTCCTCAGAGGGTGTAGCTTTGGCACGCACACTGTCACCCCAACTCCTGGCCCTTCCCCTCGGGGATGACAGTGATTTCAGTCTGATTCTTTTTGACTATCTCTTCTCCTCAACTCCTTATCAGGCTTTTGGCTGGGGTTTATCTCACAGATGTTAGCTTCCACTAATTGGCAACTGATTGCTCCTGTGTTTTTGACAATGCCTTGGGGCATAAAATTGTTTCACAGTCTGATCCAATGGTTGTTTTTTTATTTATAATTCTACCAGTTAGGGTTGTTTCATTGGAGAGAATATAAGAGAGCTAGCTACTCATGGGTCCATTCTGGAAGTGCTCTGACATTAACTTTTAAAGTCAATTTGATGTAATTAAAATTAGATAAAGCACACACAGTTAAACATATAGGATGATTGGGGTGTAGAGATTATGTCATTTTTAGTAACAGAATATGAGACACTATCTCTTTAGTTTAAAGAAAATGGGACTCTGTAAAAGGGTTTAAAAGGAACCTAGCATCACATCAATCATATCTTTAGGGAAATTTGGCTTCCTTTCTACAGATTGAGCTAGTAAGAAAATGTCTAATCAGAATAGGTAGACTTTATATTCAATCTTTTTTTTAATTGGAGGATAATTGTTTTACAATATTGTGTTGGCCTCTGCCATATAGCAACATGAATCAAACACAGGTATACATATGCCCCCTCCCTCCTGAACCCCCTCCCACCTCCCACCCTCTAGGCTGTCACAGAGCCCTGGGTTCAGCTCCCTGCGTCACACAGCAAGTTCCCACTTGACATCTATTTTAAATATGGTAATGTATATGTTTCCATATTACATTATTCTCTATCCTATTCGATTATTCTGTACAGATTGAAGTAAGTCAGAAAGAGAAAGACAAATATTGTATATTAACGCAGGCACATGGAATCTAGAAAGATGGTACTGATGAGCCTATTTGCAAGGCAGCAGTGGAGATGCAGACACAGAGAACAGACTCCTATTCAATCTCAACCAGCCCCACCAGTGTGCTCTGAAGCCAAAATCAACTATGAAAATTTGTTTGCCATGTTCTTTATGTCAGGTGATAAATCCTGATGCTGGATTTTTGATTTCTGTTTCTGAACTGAGAATCATGCGATCCAAAATGGAACATCAGTGGTAGAGATTCTGAAAAAGCCTCTGACAGTCTTTTTTCTTTCTGTTGTATTGAGTTGGCCAAAAAGTTTGTTCGGAATGAACTTTTTGGCCAACCCAACACTTAAAAGGGTGCTTATTAACACCTGCAGTTTTGAAAACTTGCCTCCCTTAACTTACCATTCTTTAGTGGTTTTACTAAGTATGTGATAATGTCACTAAAAGGAGAGAAAAGTGTTTAAACTGCAAGTCCTGACTATTTGGACAGACTTTATGAGCTGTGGAGATAAATATTGGGCTGAATGAGCTGAATGATACCCACTTTTGGCTTACTACAATTACTTTAACTGAAACAAAATTAATGCTCAAATCCATCAGCTTAAGGGATTTAAAATATTTTTGTCCAACATTCTCTCATTTTGTCATTATCAGAATGCTTGTCCATATGTGCAGAAATAACCTGCTGAAGGAATAAATGACAGACACAGGTCCTAATTGTGTCCTAATAGTATCACATTAATTGTTTCACTTAAAGAGACACAGATATACAGAACAGACTTTTGGACTCTGTGGGAGAAGGCGAGGGTGGGATGTTCTGAGAGAATAGCATTGAAACAAGGATACTATCAAGGGTGAAACAGATCACCAGTCTAGGTTGGATGCATGAGACAAGTGCTCAGGGCTGGTGCACTGGGAAGACCCAGAGGGATGGGATGGGGAGGGAGGTGGGAGGGGGGATTGGGATAGGGAACACATGTAATCCATGGCTGATTCATGTCAATGTATGGCAAAAATCACTGCAATATTGTAAAGCAATTAGCCTCCAACTAATAAAAATAAATGAAAAAAAAATTGTTTTACTTAACCTTGAAGAGCAGAAGTCATGACCCAAACTCCTGATTGGAGTCCTGACAGCTGAAGTTAGTGAGAGAGCTTAGTTTGTATTCTGTTAATTAACTTTACTGAGTTAGCATAGACAGCAAACAATACCCCCATGACTCCCCTTCGCCTTTCTTTCTCTGATGCCCTCTCACTGCCCCCACTGACATCGCCTGCTTTATCTAGGTACTCCCTTCATTCCAGCCACATATACTTATTTCCACTGCACTTCCCCAGTTTCACTCCCACACTACAGATAATGACATATAACAATCTGAGCCTTAATTTGTTTTGCCTGAAATAAAATGGCTTTGT